ATCAGGGGAGACACATGAGAATGGGGGAGGAAAGCCTGGCCAGACAGCCAGCTGGCTAGGTGGGCTGGCCTCCCAGGGCTTGCCCCAGTTTGAAGTCACTTCCTCTCCCAAATTCCAACTCTCCAGCTTTCCAGCTCCTAGCTCTGAACCCAGGCTGAGGGCCAAAGGGCACTGGTGTGGGGAAATGTGCCTACTCAGCATTTTGTAGCAGGTCCGGGAGTAAGGGAATCAGGGCTTCTGCTGAGACACTGGAATTTTTCAGTTTAAAGCCCAAAGTTCGCTCTTTCTTTCTCCCTTTCATTCATTCATTCCTGGCAAACTGCACATTCTCTCCTCCTCCCACTGTGAATCCCATTGTCATTCCAGTAGCATTTCAGCCCACTGCAGGCGAAGTGGAGGCTCTCTCTTCCAGATTTCTCTGTCGAATTGCTGGCAAGGACAAAGCCATTAGGAGCAAGATTCGGTAACTAGCTTTTTAATTTCATGGCTGGAGGTTGTCAGGACAGTACAGAGAAAATTGCCAACGATTCGGAGAGCAGCCCATGAATCTGGGGCAGAGCAGGAGAGAACAAGGGAGCACTTCAGCTGGGAGTGAGGTGTTGGCAGCCACTTGGATGAGAAAGTTCTCTTCTTCCGAATTTCTTTGGTTCAGATCCGTGCTCATTTAAGAAGATCAATTCAGCAATTTTTCACCCTTCCTCAATAAAATATTTTAGACAGCCAAGAAAGAAAAGGAGAAGGGGCCCTCTAGGGCTTTTTCTGTAGGAGGGAATGAGGATCAGTTTGGTCATTGGTCTTTATGAAAAAGAGCCGTTAATTTGAGAGAGAATTGTCCTATTTCCAGTACATTTTTGCAGATTTGGATAACAAAACAACCCTACCTCCAGAATACAACCCCAATGTCAGGTGGAAAAGATCTACATTCCAACCCCCAAGCTCAGCTATAGAGTTGCTGTGTGGCTGAGGGTTAGTGGCTCTCTGTCTCTTACCTCTGTAAATTGCATGTTGAACAAAATGTTCCCTACTTTTCTTTCCCACTTCTATGCTTCTCTGTTTTTACAAAGTTTACAAGGAATCTCTTTGTACCTGAAGGCTGGGGTCTCTGGTCTCTTTGGCAGAACTTCAGATGGGTCTGAATGGAGAGCCATCACCTCCAAGGAGCTGAGTGACATTAGAAAGGGTCTCAAGATGCCACTTTACCTTATTATGCCAACCATGATTCCACAGCTGGATACACTCATGCAAGTTAACAATAATAGTGTGGTAAACTTGCACTGGAGGTCTGGTTTTATTCCTGGAACTCTCCCAAATACATTCTCTTTCAAATGCATTCCTCACATCCACCCTGAAAGGAAGGTCTTTTAGTCACTCTATTCGACAAATAAGGAAAGTGAGGCTCAGATGCCCAGAAGGTGACCAAGTCTGACCAAAGACCCTTGCCTAGTGCCCTTCAGCTTACACTGGGCTAAGATACACAAGGCCTGGAGAAGCAAGTTTGTGAAAATCAAGGGAAGGCAGGTGCATCTTGCCAGTTTCTGCCCTCCCTTCCAGCTTCACATTGACCTCTAACTGGCAGTACAGCTCTAAGGCTCTTAGTTGCAAGCCACATAAATGTACTCTGGGTGATTTAAGCTGACAGGGAAATTCATTGAAAGATTCTAGGTGACTACACAGGAAGGCTGAAGAACTAGGCTGAGGAAATAGGTAGGAAAAAGAGGGTCACACAGCCAGAATCACAGACAAAACTCTTGCTGCAGAGCCAGCCCATTGCTGCAGCAGCTACAAACACAGGGCCCTGTCATTGCAGCTGGAGCACTGGCCCTGCTGGCTATGGCTGTGCACAGAGCTGCAAAGGAGGCTGGGAAAGTGAGTATTTGGCATTTTCTCCACCTATAGGAAGGCTCTGCCTCCTAACAAGTCTCGGGGGTAAAAAGTTCCCCCCACATAGGAAGGGCAATGAGAGTTGAGATGCCAGGCAACCAAATCACAGACATGTGCACCTATGAATCAGGTTAGGCTCTGTAATGCCGTAGTAACAAAAATATCTTAAATCTGAGGGGCTTGAAGACAACCAAGGGTTATTTCTGGCTTATGTCTATGTGTCCAGCAAGGAGCTATGTTCCAGGGCATTCTTAACTCAGACCTCACACTGCTGGAGCCGCCTGATCTCAAATATTTCCCACAGTCATCATGGCACAGGGAAGGGGTGATTAGACCAGCAATTACAGGCTCCGGACCGGACGTCACTTCTATTCATGGCTTATTGGCCAGAACTAGTCACATGGCCCTGACTTGGGGCCAGCAAGTGCTGTCTTGCCTCAGATCTGGGGTGTAGAGAGCTGGGAATATCTGGTGAGTAATATTGACAATGCCCAAGTTCCACCGTATGGGGCCTGCCAATCAAAGTTCACCTAGCAAGGGGGCAGAACACAGAACACTGAAATGAAGGAAAGAGAGCAGAGTTTCCTTCCTGGTTGAGTCACTGAGAACTGTACATGTATCTCGCAGCACCTTGGGGCTAAAGGAAACCCTTACTTTGGGGTGTGGTCCCCGAAGACACTCTGCTCAAACTGCAAGTGGCAGCAGCAGATGTTGGAAGCACAGCCCATGAATGAAGCGCTAGAGGGCCCAGAGTAATGAAGCTGGGAGCCGAGCCCAGCCTCCTGGAGCTCAGGCAGGCAGCCTTTTTCCTGCCCACAGGCTCCTGAGCCATGGCACTGTCTCCTAGGGAACATGGGTGCTTCACTGCAGCCCCAGGCTCCCTCTGGAAATAAACCTTCTACTTATAACTGTCTGACAGACAGCAGGAGCCAGGATGCCTACAGTGTCCACAGGCTTATTGGACTCGCATTTTGTTTTGGTTGCAGAGAGATGACAGGTCAGGGTGAACCCCCACAAAGGTCCAGGGGAGCGAGGCACTGTGAGCTGGATAGTGAGTGCGTGGGAGGCTGACTATGGGTCCTCTGGGACATAGAAAGTCCTCTATGAACAACGTTGAGAGCGCAGTTTGCAACCTGCTTGTTTGTTTTTAATGGCATTGAAACATCAGCCCCCACTCTGATACCTTCAGAAAGTCACTCAGTAGCAAATAAAGTGCTGAGATTCATATAGCAGCCCCTAAATTAAAAAGAATAGAGCAGAGGCAAGAGTTCCAAAGCAGAGAAGAAGAATTTGAAGAAGTCATGCAGAATTTGAAGACTGGCCTTCTGCAGGACCTAGGATGGCCATGGGGAAAAGCAGGTTGGGAGGCAGTGAACAGGCACAGCCAGAACTCATGGAGCAGGGAAAGCCTGGCCAACACCGGCCCCATGAGATGATCCCTGCTGCCCACCTCACTGGTCTCCCTGCCTCCAGTGTCACCCCAACCACTCACACTTCTGTGCTGTCCCAGAGGAGTCTTTGTAAATTTTGTATACTGTGCTACTCCTGCCCTATTGAAAAGGATTGTCTTCACCCCAAGGTCAAATTCAACCTCTGAAATGGTAGCATTTGAGGTCCCAGCCTACTTCATCAAGTTCACCTCCTGCTGGATCCTACCCTATCTCAAGCACATGCTCTGCAACCCCCACATAGCTCACAGGACTGGCACCTTTTCAGAATACATTCATGCCCTTCAAACCTCTGAGCTTTTGCTCAAACTGACCCTGAGCCTCTCCTTCCTCCACTACTTAACCGGGAAAGCTTGTTAGTTGCAACAGAAATGAATTCTGGCAACTTTAAGCAGTAAAGGTATGCAGGATAGAATATATATGGGTGACTCTCAAGATCTCCGGGAAGGCCAGAGATCCAGGCTGAGACTACAGGGATAGGCTCCACACCCACCTCACACCACTGGACATCCTGTGGACACGTCACTGCCCTGATGCTGAGACACAACATCAGGCACCTCCCATGCTGCCCACGCGGCTATTACACACCTCTGTGGGACTCTGCCTTGGCCCCTGGGAGGGCTGGCTGCATTAAACAACAGCCACCTATGTCCTCAGAAAGCTTTCTGAACTCAGGAGTCATAAAATCTATATGCATGTCCCTCCTTACCCCTGCACGGCCCCTCCTCTGTTCAGCAGACCACCACAGCTCAGTCCGTTTCCTCTCTAGAATCATCATGGGAATACCAGTCTAGAGCCTGGCCCCTACCAGGCACTGTCTCATGTAATTCTCACGGCATTCCTGTAATGAGGTTCTGTTGTCCTCATGTCACACACAAGGAAAGAGGCTCCAAGAAGAGAGATAATCACTCCTGGTTATGGGGCCAGGACTCACCCCAGCCAGACCTGTCTCCAAAGGCCACAATCCTCCTGATATGTTGTACAGGGGAACCCAGGCTTTAGACATCAGGCAGGCTTGTTTGAACCCTGGCTTCAACACCAGGCAAGTGATGTTCTCTCTCTGTCCCTTAGTCTTCTCATCTGTAAAATGGGAATAACATCTGTCTGTCTTGCAGAGCTGTTGTCTCAACTAGAGGTAATGGGGGGTAAAGAGGTAAGGACCAGCTATATAGAAGGTGCTTAATCAATATTACTCCCCTTCCCCTGGCTGACACCACCTGCTGTTCTGCCTCTTCCCATCCTTTGAATCTCTAGGATTTCAGCTGTGTTTTCAGAAAGATCCAGCATCTGCTGGGGACCGCTCAACCCTCCGAAATGAAAGGACTCCCATGAGTGTCAGTTCAGATACTTCTACTTGCCCCTGACAGAGCCTGGCTACAGAGAGGTTGTACCTAAGCCACACCCAACCACACCTGAGCTACACCCAACACCCAGAGCTAAACAGGATGTGGGAAGTAGGTGGATGAGATGGGGTGGCAGGAGAGCTATTCCCCTGGGCCTTACAGTCCAGAGTCCTCAGATTTAGATATTCTCTCCAAACAAGGCTAAACATGCAATTGCAGAGAAATATTGGCAGGAGCAAAGAAGACATTTGTCAACAGTTTTAAACTCTGTCCCATCATTACACCCCAGGGCATGCAGCACACATGAATTTATACCCATAATACATACCAATTCTTCATTAGCGTAGACGTAGCAAAATCACTCATCACACTGTACTGTGTGCATGGCAGCGAGGGAATTATTAGATTGTTCAGTGTGTCTCTTACAGACCTATTACTCTTCTGATCACCCTGTTTTAACTCCTTTCTTTTACAGAGAGGACGCATTCCTGACAAAGGCCATAGAGCTTTAGAGCTTGCCCTTTGTGTTCAAGTAAATCTTTACCAACGGTATTCCGTTTTAGGCAGAAGCGGCCAGCCAGAACCAAGCAAGCAGGATGGGAGTAGGAGTTGAGGAGAAAATGATTTTGAGAAACCCACATGCTGAAAATAATCTCCCTTTCCAGTCTGTTGATGGATCTGATGTTTCTACCCAGAGGAACAACAGTGTCCCACCTTGGCCCACTCTTAGAAGCCCCTTGAAAACTTGCTTAAAAATGCAAACGGCCTTGGCCTGTCTCTACAGATCGATTCTATAGGTTTGGCAGGATGACTGAGCACCTATATGTTTTGATGAGGTCCTTAGGGAATTTCAACAAACACCAAAGTTAAAGAAGGATGGACCTAAGCTGTCTCAAAGAGACATAGAGTAAACTAGGTTGACTCGTAGTCATTCATAGAAATTATCTGAAGGCATGGGGCCCTGGAGAAGAAATTTGATTCACTCATGCATTTATTCACTCATTAGCTTTCACATTTGGTCATTCCAAACATGACGGGTTTAGAGGAGGGACGTGGTCAGGGCTATAATAATCAGATGGGCTGGGTTATGCTGCAGTCACACTCCAAATCTCAGTGGCTTAAAACAAAAGGCCTCTTTCTTACTTATGCTACATGTCGGGTTATCTGGGGCCTCTGCTCCATGTCCCCTCACTCTGAGGCCCAGGACGATGGATTAGCCATCCTCTCCAATTGTTCTGGTTACCACAGCAGGTGGAAAGAGAGCTCTGGAAGGCCTCATGTTGGTATGAAAATGGCCTGGCCCAGAAATCCTTTCTGCTCACAACTCTTTGGCCAGAACTAGTTACGTGGCCCCAACTAACCCTTAGGGTGTTGGTTCTTGAGTGTGGAACCTCCATGCAGGAAGAAGGAAGGATGCTACAGCAGGAAGGAGTGGTGCTACTATCAGCAATGCAAAGTTTTCCCAGAAACCCTCAGTTTTTCTCTCCTCAACCAGAACTGGGCCCTATGGTCACTCTTAGCAACAAGGAAATCACAGATGTATATACTTTAGCCAGACGTGCTGCAGCCCCAAACACAATTGGGTCCTGTTTACAAACTAGGGCAAATGGATGTTAGGTAGGCAATTAGAAGTAACTGGGGGCAGAGGGAGTAACAAAGGTAGAGGATGGACCCAGACCCAGCAGCAGTAGCATGTAGGACTTGGCCATGAACTTGGCTTCACTGAGTCTACCAATTTAGAGACTGGCTGAGCCAATCCCTACGTCTTCATAAGATTGAAACTATCAAAGTAATACATTTATTAGTGTTAACTCTAGATACACATTAAGATTTCTGCCCAATAATGGACTACAATAAAATACAACAAGCTGCTGTATCAAGGCCACATTATTAGTTATTAGCTATTGAGGGCCTACTGTGCATCAGGTTCTCCACACATACTGTCTTCTAATTTTTGTGACAGCTCTGCAAGTTAGGTATTACTATCCCCACTTTACAGATGAGCAAATGGACACACAGACTAGCTAATGGATTGCCCTAGGTCACACAGCCAATAAACAGAGGTGCTGGATCCAAACCTAAACCAAACTCCAAATGTCTCACCTTTTTCTCTGTATTATGTCAGGTTGCCTCTTTCACTATACATCCTTTAGCGATAATAACGTGACATGACAATGTGTTAAATCTGTGACATGAAATCTTGTCCAAGATGTGTATTTGGTTGGAGAGACCGTAGTAGTGTTGCTTGGTGCTAGGGATCTCTGTTTCTTAAAGCCCTGTTTCTTTTGAATGTGTATCGGATCCAATCTATCATTAGAAATGCTGGAAAACATCAAAGGGAAACAAACGATGAAAAGAAGCAGGGATCAGATGGTGCAGATGTAGCCAAAATACTATAGATAGGCAATGTCAAGAAACTCTGGATGCTGTTAATTAAGAAATGAACAGTTGTCCTGACTAAGAATTGGCAAGACTCCTTGGATGAATATACAGAGGCAAGAAGGAAAAGACACACCTCATCATCACAAATAAAGACCAATAACTGCTCTACCTCAAGCAGGTATGGGGTCTAAATGCAGCCCTGGACTCAGTCTTAGAGCTCTGGATGCTCTTGTTGCAGGACTAGGATCTTCGATTAGAAGGTTGGAAGGTTACCAAGACAACTCCCAGATCATCTAAACTTGGGCCTGCTCCAAGCCCCGACTCTTAGTCCAGTTTAGTCATATGTTATGGACAGAACCCTAGATTGACCCCTCTGAATATTGACTATATTCTGACATTTGGTCCAGGGTAGTATCAAAAGTCTTAAATGGCCTTATCCCATACCTAGAAGAGTAAATTTCCCATTCACTCATCCTTTTTTTTTTTTTTTTTTTAATTAATCCATCATGTATTTGTGGAGAGCCTGATGTCCCAGGCACATTTTTGGTGCTAGGGATCCAATGATGAATGTAACAGACAATCCCTACCTTTGTGGAATTTAGAGGCTAAGAGGAGAAATAGAAGTTAATTAAGTAACCTCCTGACCCAAATGTAAATTGGTGACCATGTTATTAAACATTTGCTAAAGACCAGGACTTGTGCTAAAATGGGTTGCCGAAATGGTACTTAAGCCTCTCCACTGTCCTGGAGAAACTAAGGTTCAGAGGGCTGATACAACTTTGCCAGCTGGGATTCCAATCCAGTGTCACCTGATGCAAAAAGTCCATGCATTTGACTACTTTCTCATGTCTCCCGCGGCAAACTATAGATCTCATTTCTTTTCTTGTCTTTTCTTTTCTTTTTGAGACAGAGTTTCACTGTTGTTACCCAGACTGGAGTGCAATGGCACGATCTCAGCTCACTGCAACGTCCGCCTTCTGGGTTCAAGCAATTCTCCTGCCAAAGCCTACCGAGTAGTTGGGATTACAGGTGCGCACCACCATGCCCAGCTAATTTTTGTATTTTTAGTAAAGACGGGGTTTCACCTTGTTGACCAGGATGGTCTCGATCTCTTGACCTCATGATCCACCTGCCTCGGCCTCCCAAAGTTCTGGTATTATAAGCGTGAGCCACCGTGCCCAGCCAGATCTCATTTCTTTTCCACTTTGGGTGAAGTCTACATTTGGGCTTGTAGAGGTTCCACTTTTTTATCTAGCCTTTGACAAAAAATATTCCAGCACCTAATGTGTAATTCTTTGGGGTCGGGCAACTTGTTACTGGCAAGTTTTAACACTGAGAAGCAACAACAATTTTCTACATAAATGATACCTGAAAACAAGATTACTACCTAGGCCAAAGTTAAAACAATATTCTGCACAAACATTTCTGAATGTTTTGGATTATTAGTACAGCAATGGCGCTCTCTGATGACTGCTGGTGTGTATTACATGTGTCTTGACTGGGGAAGAATACATTCTGGATGTGCCGGAGGCCTCCTATTCTACAGTTTGGATAAATAATAAGCCTTGCTTCGGCTTGATCACCTTCATTCCTCAACCCCTTCCTCTTTTATCCCTCACCATTTACATAAATTCCAGAGGGAAGGTCATGGATATAGAATGCAGCATCTTCCAAACATTCAGAGACCTAGCAACCAGGACAAAGGTCCCCATGACACACAGTGAAATTGTCACAGTGTGAACCATATGCAGACAATCTCCAGAATCACTTACTCATTAAGTCGTGACAGGACAGATTCATCTATCATCTCATGCTAGAATGCTCCTTCTTTTTTGAAGATAATGGCTATACATAATCCTACCCACGCACTCTGTGACACTATCCCACACCTTTAGGAAACAGGAATTTATATGTTCACTTTGAGCTAAGAACTACTATGCTAAGAACTGGAGACACAGTGGTGAACAAGTCATGGTCCCCATTCTAAATCTGACACTATCAGGGGACACAGGTGGCCAAATGGTCTGTAAATTATTCACTTCCAATTATAATAATTGCTACAAAAAATGAGGCTTTGAGCATCTGTAGCATGGAGGAAAGATCTCATTGGATCTAGGAGTCAGAAGAATTTTCCCTGAGGAAGGAGAGTAAGATGTGGTGTGCCAAAAATGGAGAATGGGCTAGTCAGAGTGATCAGGGGCTTGGAGAAAAAAGGACCTGGAGCTGAGATAGCCTGAACTGGGCTTCTCCTGGGGCTAAATGTGAGTGATCAGTGTGGAGTCAACCAGTAGGAACAGACATTAGGTAATCTCAAGGATGGTGAGCTATTAAGAGAGAGTATTCATCATTAACTGACCCATTGTGAATGATTGAGCTGGTGTTAGAGGAGGAGTATAATCTAACACCTGAATATTTCTTTTGAGGGTTAATTTAAACTCTCTTGGCCAGCATGGTGGCTCACACCTGTAATTCCAGCACTTTGGTAGGTCCGGGTGGGTGGATTTGAGGTCAGAAGTTTTAGACTAGCCTGGCGAATATGATGAAACCCGTCTCTGATAAAAATACAAAAATTAGCCAGGTGTTGTGGTGCACACCAGTAATCTCAGCTGCTTGGGAGGCCCAAGCAGGAGACTTGCTTGAACCCAGGAGGCGGAGGGTGCAGTGAGCTGAGATTGCACCACTGAACTCCAGCCTGGGGGATAGAGTGAAACCCCATCTCAAAAAAAAATTTAAACTCTCTTAAGTTCTAAATGTTGGTGTGGAGAACATCCTGGATCTCTACCAATTCTGCATCTCCCCAGGAACCAAGGACATTGCAGAATTTGCTATTTACGTTCCCTCTATTCCCTCTATGTGTAAGATGAGGAAATAACAATAGCAGACATAATTGCTGAGGTTGGGAGCAATTATGGGAGCAATATGGGAGCAGGAGCTGAGCTAACAATAGGCAAAAGATGAAGGAAAGAGAGGATAATGGTGGCAGCTATGGGAGGTGAAACATGCAAGATATAGATCCTCAAAACCTGGGTTCAAATCCTACTCTTCTACCTCTGGGTATGTGATTAGGTTAACAAATTTTCTTCTGCCTCAATTTCTACATCTGTAAATAGCAATAACAGAAGTATGTATCTGCTATTTAGATTATTGCAAAGTAGTGTGTGTAAAGTGCATAGCATGACACCCGGCATTTTAA